CGGAAAGCAGATTTCAGATAAGTGCAAGTAGGGAAACTTCACAGCAATTGGAATAACCTACCTTTAAACAAAGCAATATACACTCTCACTGAAACGTGCACTCTGCTACAATGCACTGAAACCACACAATAGGCACAACCTCATTTCCAGTTTCATATATTAAAATGAAATTATTTGCTATAGATTTCCCATGTTGCCTTATTTTCTCTGGATCTACCTCACACATTTCAGGAACAAGCACATTTGACTATGGATGTAGCTCTTCCCTGAAAACTTCACCACTGAACACCACTATACTAATCTCCGATTCCCATATGCAACAAGCAGCGATGTATATAGATATATCAGCTATACCTCTAGTTATACTATTTTATAGCAGCTAGAGATTTAAATTTAGCAATTCACGCTTCTCTGTCTCCTTCACGCTAAAATTCTCTTACATGCACAACCTGGGGCTTGCCCTGAGGGTCATCAAGAAAATAAGACTAGGAGAAACAGCCAGCCGTCTTCTAAGCAAAGACGACTGACAAAATCATATCACCATTGCTTTGTAAATCAGTGTTTAACAACAGTTCCAGAGAGTTGCAAGGTTTAATTTACAAATTAATCAGTAAAAACCTTTCTTCTGATGAGGAAAAAGGAGCAAGAAACTGTTAACAAAGTTGCAGCCATCACTGTTGTCTGAGCTATCATTTTGACATCCAAAGATCAGGCAGGGTGTGCTCCGGGATGGCCCAAATACTCATACTGGATAAATCATGACAGAGGAACTTCATTGCGTCAAGAGAGAACTTTGGCTTGATTCCTGCCACCATTTAAACAATACAGAATGATTTTATTTACAAAGATGCTTTCCTTCAAAATAAAGGAATCAATACATGCCTTAAAATTGACCTTTTTAATTGACTGACCTTTGGGACAAGAACCACATTCTAACGACAGTAATACTTGTGCATTAATTGTAACGACGAATTCTTTCAACCACATCGGTTTTTTAAAAAGCACAAATTTGCGTCTCCAGCTAGTATAACAGTTTTGCGTAAAAAACTCTTATCTCTGTATAGATTCATGGTGATTAAAACACCATAGAGAACTACTAGAAGCATCAGCTCTTTGTAACATTTTTTTCTTGTCACCAATGAGAAAGTTGTTCTCAGCACTTTCTAAATTATTTCCTGTAAAAAAAATTCAAAAAGAAGCTCAACCTATACAAAGACTGAATAGCCACAGACAGTAGGTACTTAACAACAAGCTCCAATAAAATAATCAGGACCATTTCCAAGCAGAAGTAAACGTTATTTTGGTGATAAATAATGTTTATATAATTATATAACAAACTGTGAGAAACAGCAGATTACACATGATGGGAAGCTTAAGGACACACCCAGTATAAATCTGAAGCATGAAAATAATGACTAGCGTATTGACTTGTATATATTGCTGTTTTTATAATCAAACAGGAACAACAACAACTCCACAATCTGCAGAATGACTACTGTAGAAGTTTCTCTCACCACAGATTAATATGCTTTTCTAAGACAGATTAACCAAAAGCTAGTGTGAGACAGTGTGTATTGGTAACAAAGATAACAACCAAAAGCTAGTTTGAGACAGTGTGTATTGGTAACAAAGATAACAACACAAAATCTACAGATACATCATAGAGCTTCTAAATCAGTTTTACATTAAATCCAGGAAAAAAGTTTGTGAAAGAATGACTGATCTGTCCCAAAAATGCTGACAAACAACAAAGAGAACATACTGCAGAGTCTCTACACGACACGTATTTTGCTGCCCTTATTCATTAACTCCCCCCTCAACACTGGCCAGTGCTGTTGTGCAAGAGCAGACCTCTTTCCTACACAGTAAAGGCAGCCTCCCATACTCCCTCTGAACATGCAACTCTGTATCTATCACATTAGCACATACTAGCAATAATTACAGAAGGCTGTCCTGCTTTATCACTCTGCGCATCATTAGGGTTACCCAAATACACAATTTAGTTACCCCACAATACACAAACTGGATTTTTTGCAGTCTACATACACTTATTCATAATGGATGCCTTTATTTTAAGGTAACTCAGATGATCAGTACTATTCCTGACAGCTTTTTCCTCTGCCACCCCCCCAATAGAATTATTTAATTCTAACATTAAATAGATGTTAGAGCAGCAGGAAAACTATACTAATGTGACTGTGCACATGTCCCTTTTATTCCATCCTCTTGCCTGTTTTCAGAGGTTTTCAAACACAGAAGTAACTAATGGAACTCACTGGTAACACTGATTACACAACTTCCCCACTTACCATCTATAAACCCATTAACTTGCATTTGATTAAAACACACTCTTTAAAAAGGCATCTAATCCTAATTGGAAAGGGTGATGATAAGGAATTCAGCATCTTCCCGGCAGTTTGTGCCAACAGCTAACCACCCTCACTGCTGAGAACAGCATGTCCTAGATCTTACAGATTTGGCTCTTGTTACTTTGATAGTTTTTTTTTTTTTTAATGAAGTGAAGAAATTGATCTAAGCCTTTCACTGTAAGATATTTCCTCCATCTGTCACTGATATCTACTATGTTTCTTCTGCACTTGTTAGTATTTCAAGACCCTTCTAAAAACCAGAACTGGATATTATATTCAGCTATTAGTCTCACGAACAACATTCCCCACCTCTTCTTCATTTTAAAAACTGACAAAAGTAATGGTAAGGATTATATATATATATTTTTGGTTTTTTTACCAGTTTGTCGTTGCACTAGACATTTTTCTAGTAAGCTCTTGTCAGAATTAGTTTTTTAGGAATTTAGAGGCTTTAGAGGTGTGGCTTGCAACATTTGTCCCTGATAGAAGAACCACCTAACTATCCTAAAATGCACTTGAAAAAACCCGAATTATAAGCAATGTATATCAAGTTCTATGACTATCCTGTCCTTTACAAATGATCTGCCACACAATCCAAACGTCACATACAGAAAACTACTCCTCATGAGTAGTTTCACAGTTGCTCCCAGCTTGTTGATAAAAATTTTTGTCATCTTCAGGATTATAACTATTTTCTCTTTCCAAAATGAAGCATCATTAATAACTGCAGCTTGAAGTTTCTCACTTCTAAATATACTTAAAGAGCTTTCAAATCACATCATACAGCATTATTTTTTTTAAATCTGATTGTAGCATTATGTAGCATAAAGACAAATGCGCTTTTTAAAAAAAACCAAAACACAAGTATTTAACTTTTCTGACCAGTTTCTCAGAATTTTTTTTTTTTTAAAGAGGAACTTATAAAAAAAGTAATTTTCATACTTGCCTGTAGTATTTTAATACTGATGTTTTAAGGACATGAACAAGACAAAAGATTTTTCTCTTCCTACAAACCTTTGTCTTCCTCCAATCTGGCCTTTCTGCTTCCCTCTCTGGCATCAACTTCCCTTCAAAAACTCCTGTTTTTTCTTCCAGTTTACTCTGTCTTCATAGGCTACTAAGGTGAAGATTAGGAATGGGAAAGCCTGAGAGGCAAAAAGAAATCCTGACCCAAAAGCAGGTTGAACCTTTGGAGTGAGCTACAGTGAGCAGCAAGGCAATGATGCACAGGGCAACAGTGCTCAGACAGTCCAAATTCACTGCTACCTATGAAAAATGAATATAACTCCTCCTTGGAAATAGGATATGAAAATGACTAAGGACAAAAAAAGTGGGCAATTTAAACAGCTCCATCTAACACCTGATACGATATATACTGCAACAATTTTGATAGTGGTACCCACAAATAACCTGCAGACTGAAGAGAAACAGGAATGCTAGCAAGGTGGTTTTGTATCTTTGAGACTGTTTCACACCAGCAAAGACATCGTATCAGAAATTGCCTTTGCATTTCTTTCTTAAAGTACTAAAGTAAATCCTGATTTAAACATTGCATTGAAGTGTGCCACACAGTTAAATCAAATTCAGAAATGATACTTTAACAGAATGACATGAATATGAAACAAAGGAAGATGAATATTACTTTAGCATAACAGGCAGTATATAAACAAAAATTAGGTAAGTTGCATGTAATATATCTAAAAATCTACAATCTTATCCCAAATAGTGAAAGAATTAATTTGAAAGCTAAAGAATCTGTGACTCTTCCTGATGCAAATTCTTTTATTCATATGAAAGAAGTTAATTTTTATTTTAATTTATAATTTATATTATATGCAATGAAGAATGTAAAATAAAAGCTGTTTCAAACATGATACATGCACCACTAAACAAGATTAAATATTGCTGAATAAATATTAATTATTAAATACTGCACCAACATATAACTTTTTACGCTCAGAAATAATCTGAGCATGCAACCCTTCAAGAGTATTTTTTCCCTCCTATCTACCAATAGTCAAATATCTAAGTCTCTTCCCAACTCACCATATACGCAGTTCTATATATATAGCATATAGCAGTCCTGAGATATAGTCACTTGCATAACAAATTCAAGGTTTTTAAACATTTACATCAGGAAGAAAAGAATGCGAATCAGCCTATTCTTACCCTGACTTACAATTTCCAAAGGTTATACATTCGTGTTAACAACTACTTTGCAAATGTTTCTTAAAGCGAACCCCATAGTCTAAACAGCATGCTTTTGTTTACGGTACTGCAACAAGCAGTTGCAGTGCTTAGCAACAATTTCACTTCTAAAAGGACTCTAGTGTTTGCTACTGGCAAAGGAGTACCTGAAAAACATGCAGTGAGGGAGTCTTGCTAAAACTGTAATTCCCTGGGTCACAGGGAAAAGTGGTTTAGAAATTAAAGAAACATAACAACTTACAAATGACACAGTTTCCCACTTAAGTATCTTCAGTAGAACCTCCAGTTCCCTTTTACTGAATGAACCTCAAGAAAATTATGTCTCTTAGGTCTTGACAACATGGTAAAAATAACCAAACGCCCAGCATCTCCCACAGACAGATAAAATCCTCCTCTCCAGGTGCAAGAGAAAGCGTCACGTACCATTGACACATTCAAAGACATCACAGCACTTGCCAGGTGTTCCATCTCCACGCGAGACTATCTGGGGAATGGAGCCTGCCTCGCACATGGGGAAACCACATAAACCAGAGAGACACTCGCATCTGAAACCAAAGAACAGTAAGGAAAACCCCATAAATAAATGAAGCCATGTATAAGGGGAAAGAATAAGCAAGAGGAAAATGGAAAGCTGGAGCACAAGTTCCAGCATTAGCATATTCATATCTTAGAATCATCTTTTATTAACCCATCAGCCAAGATAGCTTATCGACCTGAAGGTTTTTTTTAACCATCCAAACTGTTTGCTGGTCAAGCAAACAAGAAGGTGGTACTATGCAACACCAACGCTCCTCTAGTGCGGTATCTAAAGACGTAGAAAACTGTAGTTCCAGACTGTTTGAAAATAACTGTATTCTCCAGACTTGCAAAATTAGGCTTCTCCTCCAATTCTCTCTGAAAAAATCAAAATTGGTGAAACACTAACAGCAGTAACTGCACCCATTCATCAGAAGAGTGTTCTCTCATTAGGAAACCATATTATACCCAGTTTTATATAGGGAATAATTAAAGAGAAAGGAAGACCATGCCGAATTGTTAAATCTAAGCCAAATGAAAATAATTGCAGGTTCTCTTTTGGTTTTTGATGGTGCTGCCCTCAGTTTGTGGAGGGGCAACCAATTACATAAGATGCCAAGTAATGTGGGAGGCTAGGTATATTAAATACTGTGGTTAGTTTTAGAGATTGGATCATTCTAAAAATAGTATTTTCTCCATGTAAGTAGTATTTATTTGCTTATTTAAGAAAACAGCCTAAAGAACTGGAAGACATAAAATGTAGAAAAACGATAGTCACATTTGTTTCCAGATTCTTTGCTTTATGATTAACATAATAGTTTAAAAGTCAAACACTTAAGACTTTTGATAAGTTTACATTTAACAGAGTTCTTGCCTCGAACAATGGACACATTACAGGCAAAGCAGCAACGAATCAATAAAATGAGAGACAAAATGAACAAAGAGAAATATGCAAATATATCTAAGAAACTTCATGGAATAGGACTTAAATTTTTCAATTGCAAATCACAGATTTTTTGGTAAAAAAACTTGTAGATTAATTTAGCATACTACAAATACACATGAATTTCAAAAGGAAAAAAAGAACTCAGCAGAAGATCCTGTAGTTATGAATTAAAGAAACAGAAATCAGAACTCCACTTGTTAACAACTATTTCAAATATTTTAAGTATTTCAAGACAACCCTCACACTAAACCACGCATTAGTTAGAAGCATCATCAGCACTTAATGTGTTTGGTTATTCTTTCTGCTTAAAAACCAAGAAGTTTGGTTCTCTTCTACCATGCATGACTCCTTAATTGCCCAACAGCCATTTCATCTCAGACCAGGGTTCAATGAATGAGGAAGAGCAACCTCTCAACAGACACAGTTTTAATATCGCTCCCTTTAACCTCATCAGTGTTAGATAATGTTGTTATATTCTCCACTGTAAGGTATTACTCAAAAGGAAATTTGCAAGAAGAAAAACAAGTAAAGTCAAGGAATCTCACAGAACCTTTATTATACTATCTGAAAAGGATTCTTAAAATATTGCATTATAGCAGCGTGTTACTATAAAGGGATAAATGACTTCTTGAAAAAACAGTATTAATTATATCACATTTCACAAATAACATTAAATATGTGAAGATAAAGTAAAGCAATTTAACTCTATGTGCACATATATACTACAGTATAGCGACAGTTTTAAAACAGGCATTTCAAGGATTTTTTTTTTTTATAATATTGTGCTTACTGTAACAGTAGAGGATAATGAACTAGACCAACAAAAAAGTAAGAGTACAGAAACCAAAGTTTTATTCATCATACCTTCGCTTTTGACATTTTCTTCTCCACTTATTTGTAAATACAAAAAAAGGGGGAATCCAATTATTTTCTTTACTGTATGCCCTTTGCCTTCAGAGACGTAGGAAGGAAATAAAAAAAGCATTATGGCTTCTACTACATGGGATCAAAAAACCCAATGGATTTGTGACAGCAGCTTTCCTTTAAGATGACTCTGTAAGTAATCTTACAGATTTCTGTACTGATATCTCATCTTTTGCTGCCCCAAGAGAAGGAAGATACTTATTGGGGCTGGAAAAGAAAAAAGAAAAAAGACAACCTCTAGCAATCAGCGAAAAAAAACTTCTAGCACTGTCAGGTTCAAGGAATTTGTACCTTAACCCATCTAGCAGACGTTGCTTTGGAAGATGCTTTTCCCTTGCGAGAAGAATGAAACACAGAAATAAGCACCTACATATTACTAAAGAAGAAAGAAAAAATCTTTTAAAACATATGTAACAAAAAAAAGTAAAGACACAATCTGAAAGCGGTATTAAGATAAAAATACTAGGTTTCACTTCACCACCCTATACTCAACACCCAGATAACGTCTGGGAAAATAGGTAGATCAAACTTCCTGAAAATTCACGTCTTTCACAGAGAAAATGGCACACGTGATGGAAATATAGTTGTGGACCTTGATTTTCCAAGTCTTATGAGCTGAAATTACCACTTACTTTTATTGCCTTCGCAACAAGCTTTTTCAGACATGCCTGTATCTGCTATATTCTTTGCCTCACATTCATTATCATTGACGATTTGAGTTGCAGAAGAATATTAACTGATTAGATTAATAACTTGTACTTTTCCCCTCTCATTTTCTTCCCAGTCAACTGCTTTAAAAAAAACAAAAACAAAAAACACACAACCAAAACACAAAGCCAAACAACAACAAAAAAAAGAATCACCAGATTAAGTAACTTAAGATGGGACAATCTTCCAGAAGAACGGCTGAAAAAGATGTTTAAAAGACTGGTGGGAGCCAGTGTTCCTTTCTGCAGAAAAGACTCCCTCTCATTCACAGTAATCAAAGCTTTGCATACTCATTCACAGTGTAAGCAAACAAAACCCCACGCTCCAAAATTTTTATAAATTGACTTCCCATTTGGTTAAAAAATAATCCATGCATAGGAGAATGTCAAAGTAGCAAATGGTCTCAGATGGACTTTTAAATAGTCTGCATTCTTTTCAGCCAGCTCTGCTAGGAAAACCTTTGACCATCGTCCAGGCTATTAGCATGGAAAACATTGTTTTGGAGACAGAAGTCTTTCAGGAAGAAACCCAAGGAATTCTGGTAGCCGAGCACGGCTGTCACACTGCCAAAACAACAACATCTGGAAATTCGGAGTAAGTGATCCTGTTCTCAGTAAGAGAGCAAAATGAGCTTTATAGTACTAGATTTTTCTGAAGCGCCTTTTGGAGCAGAGGGACAGATGAAAGAGAAGTTGTAGTCCAGCTCTATGCTCTATCACAGGCAGCTCAGCTATCCACCTGCAGGGTGTATCTTAGCCTTGGTATTGAGCATTAGGTTGGAAGAAGTTTAGCAGGCCAGATTGTGATAGGCCTGTTGGTAGTGGCCATGGTCCTTCTTAAAGTAGTTTCTATAAAATTTAGCAGTTCAGACTGCTGATCAGTAAGGCACATGTTGCTTCTGAGCTGCTCCCTCTGTAACTGTAACTTGCCTAAGGAAAACAGATACAGCAGAAGTTACTACAAGGAAACCTTCCCAGAGAGAAGACAACTTTATATGTTGCCTTCTCTCTCTACACAGCCTGCAGCGACACAACTGCAGCGAATAGCATGGTGGCATCCGAAAGTTCCAAAATTAAAGGGAGGTCAGTAATGGAGGTACCGAGAAGTTGGCACGCAGTATCTGCCCCTCACACACCTTTATTAGCCAAGGCTCTAAGGAAACACGTCTCCGTAACAGCACTCAAGTCAAGTCAAAAAGAACACGTCCTTTTAACAAGGAAGAACAGTCTTGTAAGAGAGTACAATGTCCCCTAACAAGAGGGCCCAGGAAGGGGAAAAAAAAAAGGAGAATCAAACAGTCATGCAAGAGACTTCATGGAGTGCAGCCTGAAAAAGTGGTGGGATGGCCTGGAAGGAACCAAGAATCCCAAGTAAGTAGTCAGCTGTACTGAAATTTTGAAAATACAAAATCAGCCTGACTGGTAAAAGGAATTGTCTTCAGTTCTTCAGGTTAAAAAAAGAAAAAAAAGTAACAACAACAATAATCCTAGAAATTTCAACAACTGAGCAAGGGAAACTTCAGTATATAAAGAACCAGAAACAAGACTATGTTCATTAACCAATGCTTTACAGATTGAGGAAGGTAACTGCTTCAGTAATATAAATGGCCTGATTTTTAATTTCAGTTTTTAAGTTCTTCAAAACAGAAATAATTTCATTACTTGTTTAGTTTATATTTGAGGGATTTTGGGGTTTTTGTTTGTTTGTTTGTTTCTTTTATATAATTATTTTCCTTTTTCCTTTATGTCACCAAAAGTGCAAAAAGGAAAAGGAAGAAGAAAAAAAATAAATCAAATGGGATACTTGTAAATGACAATTTTTATTTAAAATCTAATTATCTTGGTTCATTTACTTCTGTTATTAAACAGATGAAAAGAGAGAAGGGTTTGGTTAGCCTCAGAAAACTGTTTTGATGGTAGGATCAAAAGCATTCTCCAGGCACAAGGCATAATGGCTATGAAAATAAGAACAGGCACCCTGGAAAAAAGATATAGTACCAGTGAATGGAAAGGTTGGGGTGGGGGTGTGTTGAGGAGAGGGATATTTATTTTGAGGATCAAAACAAAATGAAGTCCAAAGCACTGAGACTAGAGAAAAGCATTCCTGAAACATACATCACATTCCTGTGGAGATTTTATCACGGTCCTCCTTTTTTTCCTTGCAGGAATCTAATACAATTTGCATTATTAGCACTTATATTACCTAAATGTTGTAGAGAAACCTCCCACAGATCCGTTAATAATATAAATACTTAAGGATACTGTAAAATAAGGAATTGTCAGAAGAGAACGCCCAGCATTATCAAAGCTTGATGAACTAGAGGCGAGGAAAGGAGATTAAATGCAAGACCCTCCCTATCATCAAGCATAGGGTGTAAGAGATGACAATACAGCAAAATGATATATTAACATAGCAATCTCATGAAATCAGCGAAGGATTATGTCCACATTA